GCTTTCAACTCAGGGAAGGTCTTGAACTCCTCACACTCCCATCATACACCTGAAGTGTCCGCTGGAATTCTAACACCCCGTGCTCAGAAGGATGCCTGTGGCAGGTGGCTCAGAACAGCCTGCTTCCCCTGGAATCCTCTGTGGTGGGAGCTCAGCTTCACAGGCCGTGGTGCTAGAGTCTCCTTTTGGTGTCCATGTGGGTCAGTTGCTAACTGATGCCAACCCTCGCTAAGATACGGTGGAATGAATTATCATTATTATTTTTTAAAGATTTATTTATTTATGCATATAAGAACTGGGGTATAGGCCAGAAGTACAGGGGGGTGAGGGGATTCAGGTGGGGAGCAGAACAGGCAGATTGATGAAGTACACTGCTGAGGGGAGCAGCGGGGGAGGCAGGAGAGGTCTGCTGTGCCATGTGGGTCACCTCCCCGCAGGGAGATTGAATTCATGCTGCAGTGGGCGGATAGCTTCATAGTACTGTGCTTCAACCCTTTGCCCACCAGGGAGAGCCCTAATATTGACTTTTTAAATAGTGTTTTAACTTAGCAAGGAAGAGAGACACACACAACAATGCTAACAACAACTCTCATGGGTGTTTTCAGGTATCTTTTCTTTGGAAAGTGCATAGGTCCATGAAATCTGTGAGTATGGGAATAATGCTCGCAGAGCAACTTCTAAGATTTGTCTTTCGAAGTCCTTAATGCATTTCTAAAGAGAGTCTGCTCTTTGGCATTCAAGGCTTTCCCTTCTCTGGGCTGGGCCCCCACTGCCTTTTGCATAAAGGGCTCAGAGTTCCCACCCCACAGCAGGAGACTTGCAAAGAAAGCTCAGCTGGACCCCAGCGCTGAGGAAGGAGCTGTGCTGGAGGAAAGTGCTGCTGAAGCTTGACAAGTCTGTGACAGGGGAGCTAAACGAAGTGTGGGGTTTAGGGCAAGGGGTCCTTGGTTTTTGTGTCTTTGTTGGACAGGGGTGGGCTGAATGAGAGAGGCTGTCCTGCTGCTTCCTGCTGTTCCTCTCTATGGCCACCAGTGGGAGCAGTGCAGGCTCGATCTGCCTGGATCCAGTCCTTCCGGTCACCTCCAGGGGTCAGCAACAGAAGGCTGGGGGCTCCCAAGGTGCAGGTGTCTCCTCGGTCAACGGGGATGTCTTTGATAATGGCTAAGGCCTTGTCCTACTGAATGCTGGTTTCTGACCGCGGGTAGGGTTTGGTGTGTGCCAGTTAGGATGTTTAGCTGAGATGTCCAGAGGCCTGAGGGGCTCTGTGAACAGTGTGTCCCCTCTGAGCCATGCCCTGCTCCTGAGGCCTTGGCCTGGGATTTTCAGAGGGGTTGCATGATCT